CTGGTTTTCTTCTCACTATAGGTCATATTTTCTGCTTATTTGCATGCTTGCTAACTTTTGATTGGTTACCAGACCTGGTGAGTTTTACCTAGCTGGGTGTTGGATGTTCTTGTATTCCTTTAAATATTCTTGAGCTTTGTTCTGGGATGCAGTTGAGTTATTTGGCTTGATCCTTCAGGCTTCCTTTTACGTTCTGTCTGGTAGGACCAGAGCAGCCTTTAGTCTAGGGCTAATTCACTCCACTGCTGAGGCAATACCTTTCTGAGCACTACACCCAATGTCCAACATACACAAGGTTTTCCCCTCTGGCTGGTGACAACATAAACTACTCCTGGCCCTGTGTGAACTCCAGGGATTGCTCTGCCTACTCCTTTCTGGGGGTTCTTTCCCTGTCCATGGTTAGTATCCTCACAAGCATGAGCAAATTAGTGCTCAGCTGAAGACTTGAAGGGGACGCTTTGCAGATTTCTAAAGCCTCTGTGTGCAGTTCTCTGCTCTCCAGTACTCTCCCCTGCAAATCCTAGCTGCCTCAGCCTCCCCAAATTCACAACTCTGTCTCCTCAGTTCCAGGAGACACTGGTGTCTACTAGGGTTACCTCTCCCTACGTTGCAACCTGGGAACCAGCTTCAGGCAGTAAACTGGGTAATCAAAGGGCTCACTTTGTTTGTGTCCCTGCTCTTGGGGATCACTTTCCTGTGCGGCCTGTGTGGCCTATTGTCCAATGTCCAATGTCCGTTTTATATATTCTGCCAGAGTTTTTAAAATTTAAGGTGGGAAAGTAGATTCTGTCCTTGATTTTGCTTTTAATTTAATGCTACGAATAATCCAGAAGAAAAAAACCTAGTACCTTTAAATGCTTAAAATCTAGCATAGAAAAGACCCAGCTCTCCTGATAGTGGAAATTTTCCAGTAGAAATAGAATCGCATTTTCTTAACAGCAATGCTGAACAGAATAAATTGATTGACAACTGTTATGATTACCAAGCAAGAAAGAAACTTTCTTAAAGGAAGATTTCTTAAATTCAGATTTAACTGTAAACTAATTCTACTCCTCTACCCCATCACAAGGGGTAATTACATCACACGGCTGCCTCACTCTCTGTACTTCTCTTAATACGGCAGTTCTGTCAAATGCTGCAGGAGGAACACCCTAGCCTTAGTCTTTCCCATTTGCACAGATGATGCTTCCAGCTTTTACAACAACACAATATGATGTCTTGGAGGCTAAAATGATTGTAAGGAGCCTTGCCAAACAGAAGGCTTTATAATGCAAAGTGTCGTAACAAGAAGCAAACCGCTTTCCAAGAAGCACTTTGCTGCACAGAGAAGAGTCCTAAGTTATTTCTGCAAGTTAGAGAAGCCCCATGATCTAGCATTGGATGATCCTCCTGTGCCAAGGTCGGGATATACTTTTCAAGCAAATCTTCCCAGTAACAAAGACAGAAATGGCAGCACGTATGTGAGGTAATGTCTGTAGGGGGGTTCAAAGAGAAGATCGGAAGAGTTGATTTTCTTCCATGATCAATTTCAAATGTCCCAGCTGGATATTTCCTAAATGCACATCAACTTAATTGCTGATATAAGCTGGGTCCTCATAGTATGTTGTAAAAGGTAAATGGTAACAATAAATGCCAAGAAGGTACCAGAAGCCCCAAAGTATTTAAGAGTTTTCTTGGCTTTTCCTACAATTTTCATTTGTCTAACAATTTACCATTTCTACTCACAAACTGTTTGCTTTTCAGAACTGGGGTAAGGAGTGTTTTGGGTACAGGGGAAATGTCCTGTAGGGCAAGTAGGGCCAGATCGAGACCCAACTTGGAAGTACCCAAAGGTTTCTTCAGGGTCTCTGCACCGCACGTGACCTTCAGATTCCTTCTCTGTTCCCCCTCTCCTCCCTCCTTCAGGACCTAACCACCCCCCTCAATCCATCATTTCCTGGGCAGCACCCTATGCGCTATACCAAGGGTACTTAAGGTGTGGTCTGTTACCAGTCCACAAAGAGATAAGTAGAAAATGAGGGTAAGCATTTGGAAACTCATGGCAATTGACAGAGGAATTTTAAAGCAGTTGAACACAATAACAAAAAAACTAGGGCTTGGATTTTGCACTTTCCTTTCATTTTTCTAGCAATTTATTTTTATTATATTTTACAAAAGTAACTGTCTATAACAATTCGGAAACTTAAAAAGAAAAGGAAGGTCCTTCACCACAGCGAGTTTGAGAAACATTGCTCTGGTATGTTTCCCCCCTTCATCGAAACTAGGGCCAATGTGGAGTATGCGGGGGTGTTAGGGAGGAGATGAGCGTTTGCTGGAGAGGGAGAGGTCAGCTGGCCCAGGTCAGGAGGCGCCTAGCACCCAGGCAGCCACAGGTTCTGCACTGAGTTTTGGCTTCAGGAACTGCTGCTTGGGCTGATTTAAAATAAAGTAGCATAATATGATCTCACAGACTCCTGTTGTTTCAAACATTAAGTTCTGAGATTGGATAAAATCTATGTAATAAAGCCCTAAATGATGACCAGATGAAGGTACCTGTAAATTGTCTGTTGAGGATTAAAACCTGGACATACCTATTATTTGAGAAAGAAAAAATAATAATAACCTAAAGGCCCAACCAGAGTAAATACCTAAGCAAAGCAATGAATACCTGGTATAGCAGCTGGATCAAATACCCGGGTAGATAATAAACTGAACACTATGAAAACTACACGGAAACTTAGAAAACGTGTACAAAATAATACACTCTATTTATTGCAGCAATGTTTATAATGGTAAAGAAGAAAAGGGAACTGCATACTAAGTAAAGGCCCATCAACAGAGAAATGGCTGAACAATTTAGCAATGCCCCAGCTTCAAAGATTAGTTAGATCTCTCCTAGTTGACCTGGAGGGATTTCACAGCATTTTGAAAAGTAAAAAAGCAAGATGCAGAGAAGTGTTTGTATACAGTGTCCCAATTTTTTTAAAATGGGAGGAAAAAGCCTATCTGTGGGCATGTTGGAGGTGAGGTATTACTTTAAACGATTATTAGAGGATGGAAGAAGGTATAAAGCCTACCTTCTGGGTGTTAAGATTAGCTACTTGGTGTGGGGTGGAAGGATCAAAGCAAGCCTCTTTCAAAGGATCTGTAACTTATACTATAAGATGCTATGCTGTTTACGTAAAATTATATATGCCAGCATACATGTGAATGTATATTTCTCTCTATAGATATATTTACATATCTGTATGTCTATATCTGTCTGTCTACCTACCTAGCTAAAGAGAGAGCTGTCAAACAATGGGCACCAAAGTTACGGTGGTTATCTTAGGGGAGGGAGTCAGGATTCCTAGTGATTTTCATTTTCTTCCTTCTATGTTTTTCTTTTTTTAGAATGTTTACAATAACCAGGTATTATTTACATAATAAGAAAAAACAGCAAAGCTACGACAAACACATATCTTAGACACCTTCCTCATCTTCCCAACTCTAACCACTCTATTTCCCTCAAGTCAGGTCCCTTCCTCCCTGGCCCCTCCACATCAAGCCAGTTCAGGCTCTCGTTGTCCCTAACAACCCCTATTGGGTCCCCTGCCTTGGTCTCTCCCCTCTCCAGTCAGTTCTCCACATGGAAGCCAGAGTGACCTTTCAAGAATGCCTATCCAGGGGCTGGCCCGTGGTCGAGAGGTTAAGTTCGCACACTCCACTTTGGTAGCCCGGGGTTCGCCAGTTCAGATCCTGGGAGCGGACCTAGCACCGCTCATCAAGCCACGCTGAGGCGGCATCCCACAAAGCAGAACTAGAAGGACCACAACTAGAATATACGACTACGTACTGGGGGGCTTTGGGGAGAAGAAGAGAAAAAAAGGTTGGCAACAGATGTTAGCTCAGGGCCAATGTTAAGGAAAAAAAAAAAGAATGCCTACCTGTCCATGACACTCCCCTGCCGGAGCCTCTCCTAGGGCCACTCAGTGCCCCCGGGAGCAGCTCTCAACCCGCACTGTACGCTGTAGTCTTCAGTGCTACATTTTACAACCTTGCCCGTCTCCCTCTGCTCTTCCACTGCCTGACTTGCAGCTCCTGGCTCACCCATGTTCTTTCATTCTTCCATGTCTGTCCTTCCATTTGCCCAGCTACTCATTCGATATTCAAACTTTATTCCCTTCTGCAACCACTCCCTCGTCTCTTCTTCTGTTTTCCCAAAGCACCCTGTACATCCTTTGTTACAGCACTGAGATCATTCTTTTTAATGAATTTTTCTCTCTCTCCCTCCCTACACTATGAGCTATTTGAGGGGAGTATGGTATCCTCAATGTCTTTACCCAATGAATGAATGAGATGAATGATTAAATGAATCTGTAAAAGCAAACCCAAAACAATAAATATAAATGCATGTCAACCACGTAAAAGGTCTCTATAAGCATTGAAAACAAGTTGAAAGTACAATTATAAAATAAGTAAGTCATAGGGATGTGATAATATACAGCGTGGTGACTGTAGTTAATACTTACAGTATATTCGAAAGTTGCTAAGATAGTAGATCTTAAAATTTCTCATCACAAGAAAAAGAATTTTGTAACTATGCATGGGGATAGATGTTGACTAAACTTACTGTGGTGATCATTTCTTAATATACGTAAATATTAAATCATTATATGCTACATCTGAAACGAATATAATGTTATATGTCAGTTATATTTCAATAAAACAAATAAATTAAAATGTAAAAAAAAGATAAAAAGGTAAACAGTAAACATTTTAAAGTTCATTTTTTTCTTTTCCAGCAAAGTGTCTTCAGCTACTTTTTAAATTACTACTAGTAATTCACCTCATGAATAATTTATATAAAAATTATCAAAGTTAACTACAGTTTAAATCCCTATAAAATGAAACAGAGAAGTGAAAAAGACAGCTGTTTTCCCATTTTCAAATAAAACAAGTTCAGTACTCCTTAGCCATGCCAGGTCTAGAAGCAGCGTCTCTCCCCCTACAGAACACGGCCCAGCTGTGTGGTTACTTACTGGAGTTGAGGAGGATCATGGCCTTGACACAGAGATACTCTTTGTGTTGGAGTTTTAACTCTCGAAACCTTGAAGTCGTTGCCAGGAGCATGTCAAAGATTTCCAGAATTCCTTCTACGCATTTTCCCTCTTCCCTACAAAAGTTCATTTGGAAATTTAAGGAACATACAGCTCCAGGCAACCATCAAAAGCAATAAGGAGTATTTTCCTTTTAATCTCAAATTTCATCTTGTACATCCTTTAACTATGTGGTCATGAGACCAGACCCAACGATATGATCTTTATATGAAGATAGAATTATCTTCATATAAAGAGGACAGGGCATTTCCTATAAATCTCTAAAGCAAGCATTTGAATAAACACTATTTAAGCAAAAGTGTGCACTGGAACTACATTTTCCTTCTAACGGTTCACCAAATGTTTTCTTAAAGGAACGCCATTTCTGTTGATTATTTTAAATCTAAACCATTTTAGCCAACCAGCTCTAGATATGACACATATTACTAAAAGGGGATATGCCATGTTCCCCTCGGAAGAAACCTGAAGCGTTCATGAGGAAGACAATGTTACAGAAGCAAATATCCCACGAAGAAATAATCTTTCACACGCAGGGCTTAACTCTCACTTCCTAGTGGTCATTTAGAAACTAGTGAGGCAACTGAGAGACATTTAAATGCAATTTGAAAAAAGCTAATATGACATACAAAGAAATCACAATTAGAGAAGATAGATTAGAATCAGGAAAGGAAGGTAGAAATGCAGACGTGGAGATTTTTGACTTAACAAAGACTATTTTTAAGCAAATGGTTTAGACAAACTTTCAACCATATAATCAAAATTCTTTTGAGAACTCCTTATAGCAATTAATTTTTAAGTATACATTTGAAGTAAGTTACTTGAACTGTATCTAGAAAATACCAGCTTCTATTGACTCCGGTCAGACACACATTCTTTCACCTCACTGCTCCCAAAAAACTTCTCTTATCATCAGTCAGAGAGTTATTGAAAGCCCTTGACAAGGAGTTAGACGATTTTGCCATGAAACTTTCTAAAAGCCGCAGCGCACAGTGAAGGGCAGCTGTGGTGGCAGAAGGATTCTTTTTGAGTCTCTGTAGCAGCCTGGAGGGGACCTGAGATCTTCCAAGAACTGGCTGCTCCCCTCCTCTCTCCCCCAACCCAGAGCCAGGACATTTCCAGTGATGGTGGTGGTTGGTGGGAAGGCCTCTGTAGATTTCAAATGAACTGACCCCAGAGGCACCGCCAATCGCGGTGAAGCCTTCCCCATTCTGTGCTGTGCAAGGATGGTCACTCACCAGGATCCTGCATGCCACTGCATTTGCACCCCTGCAAACTCACCTACACAAAGCTACAAGCATGCAAACCCATAACTTCTGCAACCAGCTGAGGCTTGCTGAAAGTGCACACGTTAAGAGATAAAACACCAGTGCCCCCCAGAAGTCACTCTTAGAGAAAGGCCACCTTGGAGACTCCGAGGTCTGGGCAAAAGATGCCAAAACCTGTCAGAAACCTACAACCGTCCCCATGCCCCATCCTCCCACCTCCCCTGCTCTGGCTTTCCCAGCAAGGATGACACCTGCCCTGCACGTAGCAGATGCACAAGATGTATTTGTTCACTGAGTGCCCCTCATGCCACATCATCAAATCCCTCTGCCTGGGGACAATTAATTACCGGAAGTTGTAATTGTTGGGCTTGAGGACACTTGATACCGAGAAAAACTAGTGTTAAAGTATCTCTGGGGGTAAAAACAAAAAATCCACCAGGTCCTTCATTGCTGGTTTAATAGTTTGGCCATTTACTCTTCTGAGAGGCTCAGTCAGAGGTGGGATCATGTACACTGGGTGCACACGTGCACACATGCATATGCACACACACACACACACACCCCTCCCAAGTAGTATGATAAGGGGACTCATCTGAAATCAATTCTATTTTGCAGAAGTTGCCACCTGTGCCAAAGTACAGTTCCCTAAATATTGAAATTAGTGCCATTTCCTCATTTACATACATGCCATTTTTAATGCAAAATCATATTTCAAAAGTGGAGAGAGAGTTTTCATTCTAGGGCATCTTAAGCCCTAATAAATGCTGTAACTCACAGTAATCAGAACATGCATACCTCGTGCAAAAAATGAATTTCTAAACAACGTCTATAGAACTAGGTCTGATTGCTTGCTCTACCAGATGTGAGAGCCAATCATTTTCATTCAAGAGATCGCAAAGTTAGAACATTTTTATTCGCTTCACAGGCTGTAGAAACCAAATACTGTCACATGTCGCATAACGACATTTTGGTCAACAATGGACTGCATATACAATACTGGTCCCATAAGATTAGTGCCATATAGGCTACGTGTATAGTAGGCTATACTATCTAGGTTTGTGCAAGGGCACTCTATGATGTTTGCACAACAATGAAATCACCTAACGACGCATTTCTCAGAACATAGCCCTGTTGTTAAGCAACGCATGACTGTACATTTCTAGAAAATAAGTGGGAAATATAGGAACAATAAGGTGCAACACTCCAATGGAACAACAAAAGACCCCGAATAGCCAAAGGACTCCTGAGAAAAAAGAACAAAGCCGGAGGGATCACACTCCCCGATTTCAAATTATACTACAAAGCCATAGTAACCAAAACAGCATGGTACTGGCACAAAAACAGGCACACAGATCAATGGAACAAAATTGAGAGCCCAGAAGTAAACCCACACGTTTATGGACAGCTAATATTCGACAAGGAAGCCAAGAGCATACGATGGAGAAAGGAGAGTCTCTTCAATAAATGGTGTTGGGAAAACTGGAAAGCCACATGCAAAAGAATGAAAGTAGACCATTCCCTTACACCATGCACAAAAATCAGCTCAAAATGGATTAAAGACTTGAATGTAAGACCCGAAACCATGAGACTTCTAGAAGAAAACATAGGCAGTGCGCTCTATGACATTGGTCTGAGCAGCATATTTTCAAGTCCCATGTCTGACCGGGCAAGGGAAACAAAAGAAAAAGTGAACAAATGGGACTACATCAAACTAAAAAGTTTCTGCACAGCAAAGGAAACCTTCAACAAAATGAAAAGACAACCTAACAATTGGGAGAAGATATTTGCAAACCACATATCAGATAAGGGGTTAATATCCAAAATATACAAAGAACTCATACAGCTCAACAACAAAAAAACCAACAATCCAATTAGAAAATGGGCAAAAGCTCTGAACAGAGATTTCTCCAAAGAAGAAATACAGATGGCCAATAGGCATATGAAAAGATGCTCAACATCATTAGCTATCAGGGAAATGCAAATCAAAACTACAATGAGGTATCACCTCACTCCAGTCAGAATGGCTATAATTAACAAGACAGGAAACAACAAATGTTGGAGAGGGTGTGGAGAGAAGGGAACCCTTGTTCACTGCTGGGGGCAGTGCAAACTGGTGCAGCCACTATGGAAAGCAGTTTGGAGTATCCTCAGAAGATTAAGGATAGATCTACCATATGATCCAGCTATTCCACTGCTGGGTATTTATCCAAAGAACTTGAAAACACAAAGGCATAAAGATACTTACACCCTTATGTTCATTGCGGCATTATACACAATAGCCAAGACTTGGAAGCAACCTAGGTGCCCATCAAGGGACGAATGGATAAAGAAGATGTGGTATTTATACATGATGGACTACTACTCAGCCATAAGAAATGATGAAATCCAGCCATTTGTGACAACATGAATGGACCTAGGGTATTATGCTGAGTGAAATAAGTCAGAGGGAGAAAGTCAAATACCATATGATCTCACTCATAAGTAGAAGATAAAAACGACAAAAAAAAAAAAAACACATAGCATTGGAGATTGGACTGGTGGGGAAGGGGGGAGGGGGGAGGGCAGAAGGGGTGATTAGGGCCACATGTGAGGGGATGCACTATAATTAGTGTTCGGGTGGTGAACATGATGTAAGGTATCCAGAATTTGAAATATGATGTACATCCGAAAAAAATAAAAATTTAAAAAAAAAGGTACAATACTCCATAAATGACACCCTAATAAAGCTATGCTTTAAAATGAGTTATACCGAACAGAATAAGAAAAGACTTTAAAATAACAAATTAATGAGATGTATTTCATTTATTTTGTATCTATAGATTGACACTGAATTCCGAGGAAGGAATTAGGACTGGATTAACAGATTTAAATTAAATCTAGAAGGTATATGATTTGAATGTTAAAATATTGAAACAATATATCAGTCAAACCAAGCTACTCATGGAAATTCACTTTTGCACACCATTTGTCCATAAACTAGTGCTAAGTAAAAATAAAATTAGTCGTTACATGTGGAATATCTTATTATTTGATAATCACTCCTTCATAAAAGGAAAATATTCTGTTTGATACCAAGGGCAAAGTGTTGAATGAGTGGGCCTTGCTTTAGGGTACATTATTTTGCACCTGCGTAAGTATCTGCTGGCACAGACATGTGGCTACAGACCACAGTTTACCTCTGTGTGGGCGGCCGTCGGGGGGAGGGCTCAAGACTTAGCACATGAAAAGGACTTAAATATTGAACTCAGGTGAAAATTATCTGAATACAAAAGGGAAATGAAAATTTATAAGTGAAAATTCTGTGGATATCTTGAAGAAAATTCGATATAGAAATAACTAATGTGGGGGCCAGCCCCATGGCCAAGTGGTTAAGTTCGCGTGCTCCGCTGTGATGGCACAGGGTTTCGCTGGTTTGGATCCTGGGCATGGACATGGCACCGCTCGTCAGGCGACATTGAGGCAGCGTCCCACATGCCACAACTAGAAGGACCTGCAACTAAGGTATACATCTATGTACCAGAGGGGATTTGGGGAGATAAAGCATACCAAAAAAAAAAAAAAAAAAGATTGGCAACAATTGTTAGCTCAGGTGCCAATCTTTAAAAAAAAGAAATAACTGGGGCTGGCCCCGTGGCCGAGTGGTTAAGTTCGCGCGCTCCGCTGCAGGCGGCCCAGTGTTTCGTTAGTTCGAATCCTGGGCGTGGACATGGCACTGCTCATCAGACCACGCTGAGGCAGCGTCCCACATGCCACAACTAGAAGAACCCACAACGAAGAATACACAACTATGT